TCCAACTTGGGGGAGAAGTTTGCCTGTGAGGCAGGGACTTTATTTAGAATTTATTAACTTATATCTCACTCACTTCCCAAAGATTTTGAAGGGGTCTTAGATAAAAACCACTGTATTATTATAGTGCCATAGAGCAGGTAAGGGGTGACTTGGACGAGGGCACTCGCAGTGGAGATGCGGAGAGGTGGTTGCATCTGGATCATTTTGAAGGTGATGGCATTTGCTGATGGGGTGAGAAAAATGAGAGTTAAAGATTTTTGTGTCCCGGAAAGGTAGGAGTTGCTGCTTGCTGAGAAGGGGAAGGAGATGGAGGGAGGAGCAGGTTTCGGGGGACAGGAGTAGAGCTCAGAGGCTCTGTTCGGGTGATTACACTGAGACTGTTAGACAGCTGGTTGGAGATGCTGACTTGTTAGTTGGATATAAAACCTCGACTTAGAAAAGTCTGGTTTGGAGACCTAAGTGCAGGAGATGGAGGCATTTAAAAGGCCGTGAGACTGAATGAAATCTGCAAGGGGATGTGTACGAAGAGATGAAGCAGGTCTGGGCCCTGGGGTTCGACGGTGTTTGAGTGGGGGACCAGCAAAGAAGTCTGAGAGGCTGTGGGCAGAGAGGCGGGAGGCAGATGTGGAGACAGCGGGGGAGCAGGAGCCTCGGTTTGGACGCGTTACGTTTGAAATGCCTGGTGGACATTCAAGTATCATTGTTGGACAGGCCGTTGGAGACCAAGTGTGGAGCTCGGCAGACTGACCGGTCATGGCCTGAGGCTTGTGGTTAGTGGGGCAGGAGGCAGGGGGTGTGGAGGTTGATCGTGTCCCTGAAGGGAGACCAGGATGCCCTGGACTCGGGCTGCCCTGTTGCCCTCGGAGGCCAGCGACCCCAGCTCCAAGCTCCCTGGGTGAGATGCACACAGATCTCCAGACCAGAGGGCTGGGGGAAGTGGGGACGGGACAGCCTGGCTGGTCTCCATCAGCTAATCCCTAATCCCTGGGCAGAAAGGATGCTTTTCTCCCAGGAGGCGCCTTCTTCCGGCCACCCCCAGGTCGGAGGACGTCCATACGTCCTGCCAAACCCCTCGGTGAGCACAGTCCAGCCGGAAGGGCTTGCCTGTCTGTGATCAGAGTTTCAGCGGAGTGTTCTGTCTCAGGAAGGATTAGAGAGATTTCTTTTACTGCCCATTTGAAACAGGGCCAGGACTAAAGCTTGTTGTGTAATCACCGGGGCCTGCGGGAGACTCTTCTGTAAAACTTCTCTCTGCACCCCGCCCCGGGCTCACGATCTCCTCCTTCCCCACCGGGGCTCAGCTCCAGAGCCTTCTCTGGAAGCAGCCCTGGGCCCCTTGGGTGGAAGGAACTGGCAGCCTCAGAGACATAATAATTGAGTCTTTTCTTTGCTCCAGGCACTGGCCTGTGGCCATGCCTTTTAACCCTCATACGACACTGAGATGCAGGTTACTGCCATCATCCCCGTTTTAAAGGTGAGGAAACCGAGGTACAGAGAGGGACAAGGTCCTGTACAAAGTCTTACGGCCATAACAGTGGGGCTGGGATTTGAACCCAAGTCTCTCTCCCATAGCACTCTGCTGCATTTATTTATTTTTGTTATTATTCAGCACATTTCATTTTTCCTTGATAGTTACTTTTTCCATTTCCATTTCCACTACTAGACAAGAAACTCCATGAATACAGAAAGTGTCTGATTTACCTTCATAAACTTCAAGCCTTGGGCTTTGAGCCAGACTTGGACTCGAGTCTTAGATCTCCCGTTTTCTAGCTGTGTGACTTTGGGCACGTTTCTTAACCTCTCTGAGCCTAATAAGTGATCAAGTAACAAGAGATAGTAAAATCTGCCTCATAGGATTGTTGGAAGATACAGTGAGAAAACGCATGTGCCATGTTCGGCACTGGCAAGAGAGAGGGAAATGTGTATCGGGGTTAAAGAGTGGCCCGTTTCTGTCCTACTCAGAAACAAAACTTGAAGATGCCACATGAAAAAAAAAACAAGGAATAAAATCTGTATATTATTGTGGAGCCATCATGGGAGGAAAGTGGCATTTGTCCTATAGGTTCCTCAGATTAGTCGGGAAGACAAAATTGATTCATTCATTCTTGCATCCCATTCATTCAGTGTTTACTTACCTTACCACGTGCCAGCGGTGAGCAGGACAGATGAGATCCCTTCCTGAATGGACATGGCTGTCTGGTGGGGGACAAGTAGACAAATACAAATAAAGATAAATAAAGAAGGGAATTTCAGAGAGTTGGTGAATGCTGTAAGGAAATAAGTAGGTTGATCTAAGGAGGAAATGGGGTGCTAGCTGAGCCTGTCAGGGGAGGTGACATTTTAACCAAGATCTGGATAACGAGAGAGAACCAGCCATGAAAGGATCTGGGGGAACAGCCATGCTGGTGGAGGGGACAGCGGGTGCAAAAGTGCTCTAAGACGGAGCGAACCTCGAGGGGTGATTGAGGAATAACAAGGAGGCCAGTGTAGCTGGAAGGGGTGAATGGCCAAGGGGCGGGCGACAAGCCACAGGAGTTGGCGGGGACCAGGTAAGACAGGTAAGGTGTGAAGGGTTCAGATTTTATTTCAGGTGCTCTGGGAAGCCATTGAAAGAATCTAAACAGAGGAGTGAGATGAGGACAAATGATCACGCAGGCCCTGAATGAAGGCACTGTCAGAGCTCAGGGGACATGGTATGATGGTGTGTCTTTCAGGGGTAGTCAGGGAAGGCTTCCTGGAAGGAGAAGGCCTTTGGTTTCATCCTTAACGGAGGTTAGATGTCGTTCATGGATGTCTGCCAGAAAGGAAGGTCTAAGGTGGAAGAGGCCTAGCTGTCTCATCTACCTGTGTGTGTAGGCGCAGGGTATGTAGTAGCTGGTCAGTAGTGATTTGTTGGCCATTGCCACAGACATCTTTGGGAAGCGTCTTCAGGCAGGACAGTACAGGGATGAATATAAAGCCCACAGTTCCAATCCTTATGGAGCTCAAGGCCATGGAGGACACAAGCAAGAAAAAGGAGATTCTTGCACTGGGTGGTGAGTGGTACGTTGGGACTCAGCTAGGGGATTTTCCTAGGAAGACTGCGAAGACATACTGTGTAGGCCTTGTGGCCAGCATTGGACTCGACACATATGTAGGCTCAGTACATATTTACCGAGTGAATGATTCTGGGGCCATTCTAGAAGGAAGGAGGGATGAAAGCTGGACACATGCTAACTCTCAACTAGTCTTCCATTCCTTGAATCTCAAATTTGCCACCGAAGTAGGCTGGCCTTCTCTCTTTGTCCCCAAGTCTCTGCTCAGAGTTACATCCTTTTGGGAGACTGGATCTTGCTGCTCTTTGCAGCCCCTGGCAACTGGCAGATCTCTGGTTTCCTAACCTTACTTCACTCAGGGCCTTTGTGTATACTGACCGCCTGCCTAGAACGCTTTTCCCTGCTCCCCAGTGGTGGCAGGTGGTGCCCCACGGACCCAGCGCAGTTCTCAGTTGTGTTTTCCATGGGCCACATGGTGCTTTTAGAAAATTTTGGATTCTATGTCAACATTTAACAGGTGGGAGATTTCACAGGAAAGGCTGGATTTCGGGCTTCTCTCGAAAAGCTGTAAGATGACTTTATCTCCCCATGTGGTCACAGTTGGCCACACGGAGGCGGGGCTGCCATCTTCAGAGATGAATTTTATCTGGTTTTGTATGCTGGATCCCAGCTTAAGATTTAACATGATTAGAAAGTTTGCCTGTTAACTCCAGACGGCCCCTGAGTGAACCAGTTGCAACATGGATCCTTTTGAGGCCCAGAGAGGGACAGCAGCTTGCCCAAATTTGCCCAGCAAGCTCCGAACCCTCCTGGGTCCTCTGGAAGGGGCAGGACTCAGCTCAGGGCAGAAACATGGGTTGCAGTCACTGTCCTCTGGGCTGTCTTCTGCCCTAGCAGCTGCTGTGGGGACACTTCCTGCGCCCCCACCCTGGCCGCAGGCCTGCAGGTCAGTGCCAGGGGCGGCCCCCAATGGGACTTTGGATGGGCAGCCGGATGCCGGGTCTCCAGCTTTCATGAGTGGGCATTCAACATCTGTTCACCGTTCTCAGCTGCTGGCAGCTTTCTCCCTGTCTCTGATTTTGGGGACTTGGAGAAAGGAACCGAGAGTGGGCAGGACCCAGAACAATGTCTTCCCCACCTGGAGACCTGCTCCACAGAACAGATCCGTTTCTCCTCCGCGCCCCTGGGCCTGCACGGGGGTTTCTCTGAATGCCTCAGCACACACCACTACCCACACACAAGGCAGGTCTTTGCTCAGCACACACTGGAAAGCTAAAAATAGCCCTGCCCCACTAGGGCCCTGTAACTGGAGGCGGGACAGCTGGTTTCGATAAGCAGGAGAGCTCCGTGCTCTGGCCAGCTGCCATTTGCTTTCATTGAACACAGATCCCGTGGCGGAAGCACTCCC